GCACTTGAACTGTCCATCTGTTATCCTTTACTTTATATCCAATCATAAATTTCCTCAATCATATCTTTTATGCCACTCATTGCATATAAGTCAAAATTAATAATGTACCATAGCCTAGTTAGGTCTATTCTGCATCTCTCCATCATCTTTTCAATGACTCACAAATTTGATTTTTCAGTTTCACAGTTTTCCATGATTTGTAGTCATTTAGCATTACTGGCAGAATATTGACATTAAGGATATATATTTGTCTCAGGGAACAGCTTGGGATTTTTAAAAGCACTGCACAATTTCCCAAATGCAATCCAGCTTGCTCTATTTCATTATTCATTTCTGGCCCCAGTTCATTGTCCATCTGCAGTGTTTGTCCAAGATATATGTACCGAGGGACTCACTAAGTAGGCTGCCTATATAATTGCATTCATAGTCTGAATGACATACATTCTTCAGCCATTAGTTTTTACTTTGTGTATTGTTAGGCTATTCTCCTTTGGGTGGTCATGGATCTCATTGAGGAGGTCCCATAGTATTCTGGGGGGAGAAAGGGAGATGCCATCAGCACAGGGTCTAAGAGATCCCTCAAAACACATTTGTTGTTCCCATGATTTCATCAGTATAGAGAACTCCCTCTATTAAACAGATCAGTAACTCATTTGTAATTTCACAGAATTTTGGATAGCCATCCAGCGTAACCCTTACTCACAAAAGGAATCACCACCATAACATAGCTAACAAATGATTATCCAGCCTCTGTTTGAAGACCCCCATGATGGGGAGCCCACTGCCTCATTAGGCAGACCATTCCCCTTTTACAAGGCTCTAATTGTTAGATGCTTCTACTTAATCAAACTTATACTTGCCTCTTTTTCAACATCTACCCATTGCTCCTGGTTTTGTCCTTTAAGAATGAATGGAACAAGTCTAATGCTTCTTCCCACATCTGAACACACATTAGGAGCAGCACGTGCAGTAGAAAGTGTGCCAGATTTGGAGTCAAATCCCAGGTCTGCTTCTTACTACCTGTATGACCTTGATCATTCAATAAACTTCTCTGGGCCTGAATTTCTTCTTCTATAAAATGAGAGGATTGGGCTAGATGGCCTTTAAACTCCCTCCTACCTTTAAATCTATAATTTTATGAATACATCTATCATGACCCCCCTAAGTCTTCTCTTCTCCAGGATAAACACCCCCAGTTCCTCACAAGGCATGAATTTGAGACCCTTCACCATCCTGGTCATCTGCTTGGTATGCTCTCCAGTTTATCAACATCCTTCCTAAACTGTGACTCCCATGAAGAGTTGCTTGTAGCATTGAGAAGTTAAGTTACCTGCCTACAGTCACACAGCAAGTATGTGTCAGAGGCAAAATTTGAACCCAGGTCTTTCTAACTTCGTGCCATCTCTGACAAATGAAACTCCCTACTTCCCAGGCTTATTGGGAGACCCCCATGAGGTAACAACTGTGAAAGTGCCTTATGAAGTCTAAAGCATTGAAGAAATGAAAAGCATTATCTTTACTAACATATCCCAGGTGCTACATGGGAGAAGGCATGGTTGCACCTCACCCTTTGGAGGCTGGGGTTCAGTGCCACTTGGAGAGGACCCATAGCTTTGGCGCTAATAGCAACCTATTTGCAGGGTGTCTAGACATTTTAGTCCTTTTTTTGGAAGCTGACCAACTTCGCCATGCTTCCTGAGCCAGAAATCCTCTATTCAGAAGACTTTTCTATCTCCCTTTTGCCTCACAGTTGAGAGGATTCATTTGATATTTTTTCCCCCAAGTATCCAGCCACTTTGAATTGGGACAAGATAGCAATTAAAGATGTCAAAGAGACAGACTTTGCTCAGCAACTTGCACAGGGACCACTGATTCATTCTTTACGTGGCATGCACAGCTGGTCTCTGCTGAGCCAAATCCTCCCAAGTACCAGCAAAAAAAAAAAAAAAAAAAAAAAACATACACACACACACAGACTCACGAGTGTCACATTCTTCTCCAATTGCCATTAATACAATGTGTTCTCAGTTTGGGGGTTCCAAAGGAAGTGGTTGAACTTCCATACAGACAACTGTAGTAAATAAGTTTGAAAAGAAAACCCAATAGTGGATTTCTTGGGACATGTAAGGCAAAGGGCACGACTAGAAGCTGTGAATTGTTTGTGTAACCCTCCGACAGCCTCTGCCCCCAACACATACTGAGCTTTCTCTTTCATGATTGTTTTAGCCTCGTTTTCGCTTTCAACCAGGATCACTCAATTCTTTGAGGGAAAATTAACATTCATTATGCAATTTATCTCTCCCCTTTTAATCCAGAATGTCAGTCTCCAAGGTCCATGCTCAATAATTAATGTCTGTTCTCATTTTCCATTCTCAAGAGCATCTATTCTTGAACTGTAGGGTCAACAATTAACACTAATTATGGCTTTTTCTCTCTACAATGCAAGTTCCCAGAATCCCAAGTTACCCTGTTTATTCTAAGTTATCTGGATGCATGTATATACATGTGGGCCTGCTGGTACTTAAGATCATTAAGTAATACTCTTTTTCAAGCCCCACCACAGTTAACAAATCAATCAAACCCTAACTTTTTTTTTCTGGTCTATTCACTAGTGTATTTACCATCAATACTCGAATGACAAAGGAATGAGTATTTGTAAACAAATTTGACTGGAAGACTCAGAATTTAAAATAGATCATAGGATTTGGTGATGGAAGGGAACTTAGAATCTTTCATATATCCTTGTTTCATACTTATGTGAATACAAGTCTTATTCCTCTTCCATTCTCCACCCCTACCCTACCCCACCCCACCTCACCCCATAACCATTACCACCATTACTAGAATGTAAGCTCCTTCAGGGCAGAAATCTTCTTTTTTTAGCCTTGTACTCTCAGTGCTTCAAATGCTTATTTATTTTTTAATACAGACTTGTGATTTCGTTGGCATAGGGAACTCCCATTAAGGAAACTTCCTCCCTCCCAGATCAGCAATTGTTCTATCACTCATAGCCTTTAGAGAGACTGCCTTGGAGGCACAAAGGATTAAGTGACCTGTCCAGAAAGATACAGCACATGTCAGGGGCAGGATTTAAACCCAGGCCTTCCTGATGAAGTATTCTAATCACTACACCATGCTGCCTTTCAATGATTAATAAAAATTTTAATGATTTAAGGATAATAAATATTTATTGAATTGAATTAATACTTTGAATTGAAATCTTAAAAGGGGGAAAACCTTATAGATCATTTAGCTCAATCCCTTCATTTTACATAGAAGAAATAAAGAACTTTCAGTAAATGACTTACCTAAGGAGAAATGAAAATGATAGCTGTAGGAAGGAGAATGGAGAGATAAGTGGCGCCATGGTGGGTAGAGTGCGGGGACTCAAGTCAGGAAGACTCGTCTTCCTGAATTCAAGTCCAGCTTCAGACACTTACTAGCTGTGTGACCTTGGGCAAGTCCCTTAACCCTGTTTGCTTCAGTTTCCTGGAGAAGGAAATGGCAAATCACTCCAGTACCTTTGTCAAGAAAACCCTAAATAGGGTGATGGAGAGTCATACAAGACTGGAACCACTGAACAACAAGGAAGGAACTCTCACGCAAGATATCTATGATAGAAAGGGGGCAGAGTAGGGAGAGAGAAGCTTTGAAAGGACCTGACTGTCTTTTTGGCTAGAATTGGACAGCCAGTGTAATTTTCCAATCCCCCCATGATTCTACTTTTCCAGCTTTAGTATTTGGACTGCAACTAGAGACCGTGGACACCACATGCCTGTCTATCATCCACAATGAGGCCACTGCTACTCGTGTTGCTGCTTCATGCAACATCTGCTGTTCAAATTCATGTTATCTACTCAGCTTTTATGTCTGGAATTAACGGTTTAGTGTTCTTCTCCTAATGTAAGCTTTCAGTTCCAGGTTTTTACATTCCTAATACTTTAGTTGTCCCTTTCTCGGGGATCGTTAAACAGTGACCTAGAAAAGGTTATTCTCCATGATAGCATCTACAAGCTTTCCAAATGATCTAATTCTTCTCTGGACTTAAGAATCAGTATTTCTGTCCATGATTACTATCCTCCCTTAAAAAGTTTTTTTTTTATAATTAATTTATTTATCTTTAGTTTTCAACATTTACTTCCATAAGATTTTGAGTTTTAAATTTTCTCCCCCTTTCCTCTCCTCTCCCCTCCCCAAGATGGCATGCAATCTGATATAGGCTCTACTTATACATTCATATTAAGCATATTTTCCCATTAGTCATGATGTAAAGAACAATTAGAACTAATGGGAGGAACCACAAGAATGAAGCAATAAAACAAAACAACAAAGGAAAAGGAGAGCAAATAGTATGCTTCCATCTGCATTCAGATTCCATAGTTCTTTCTCTGGATGTGGATAGCAATTTCCATCCTGAGTCCTTTGGAGTTGTCTTAGATTCTTGCATTGCTGTGAAGAGAATCTAAAAAAATTTTTAATTATATTTTTCAATTAACAAGCATTTCCTTTTTCTCCCTCAAACCTCCCTGCTACAATGGAAAAAAGAAAAAACAGAAACAAAACCCCTGTCACAATAAATTCCCATATTGGCCATATCCAAAAATCTACAACTCATTCTACATATTTAATCCATCACCTCTCTATCAGGAAGTGTAGCATTCTTCACCATCATTCCTCAGGAATCAAGGTTGGTTATTGCATCAATCAGAGTTCTTAAATCTTTCAAAGACGCTCATTTTATAATGTTGTTGCTATTCCTTGGTTTTACTCACTTCCTTCTGAGACACGTCATACAAGTCTGCCCAGATTTGTCTGAACCATCCCTTCAATCATTTCTAAATAGTGCTATTGTGTTCCATTATACTCATGTATTAATGTTTATTATTAATAACTAACAAACTAATAATTTGTTCAGTCATTCCCCCCTTTTTGTGTATGCATGACAATTTTCACAATGCATATTGAGATTACCATTTAATATGCCCCTATTTTCTTTCCAGCATATCAGTTTGTAGATTCCAGTACCAATGTTGGTGAAGCATGCTCAAATGATCAGCATGTCAGGAAAGGTAAGGTTCCCCCCAGAAAACATACATATGTGTTATCTATAAGCTATTTAGCTTATTTCTGAGGACTTTTATATTTAATTTAATTTTCAATTAATAAGTGTTTTTTTTCCCTTTCACTCCATTCTCATTGGAATAAAAAGGAAAAAGAAAACATTTGTACCAAACATATATAGCCAAGTAAAACAAATTCCTTCCTTGGCCATGTCAAAAAATGCATGTCTCAGTGCATCTCACTGAAAGAAAGGAGAATGAGTAATAAAGTACTTCTTCATCAGTCCTCTAGAATCATGGTTGGTTATTGTATTGATCAGAGTTCTTAACTCTTTCAAAGTTGTGTGACTACTTTTGTTATTGTATATATTGTTCCCCCTGGTTCTACTTCTCTTGTTAAATTATGGACCCAATTCATTACACATGTGTATTAGCTATCCATAAGTCTGATTATCAGTCCATAAGTTCTAGAAGTTGTCTACCCAAATCCATGTTGTAATCTGAGCAATAAACCTTCTTCATCTATTTTTCCTATATGGAAGGTCAAGTCTTGGTGAATGGTTACAGATCTCTTCCAGGAGCCACTTGGTACAACCAACAAAATATTATCTACATATATAAGCATCTGAAGGATTTCACCATTCCAAGATACTCCCTCCTCAACTTGGATTCTACCCTGGATTTGCTCTATCACAGTGGTGAATACCTCTGGCAAGCATACCTCTCCCTATTTTATGCCTTGTCCAATGTTTATGATAAGAGATTCATTGAACAGGGTTATCTTTATGGTTGTATCTTTTAAGGAACTTTAAATGATTTTGAGGTATGACTGCAAGACATCATGTTGGAAGAGAGCCTATAGGGCAGTGTTTCATCCTCCTAAGTCAAATACTTTTCCATAATCAACAAACAATAAGCACAATGGGATCTTATATTTTCTACATCTTTCAGGCAGTTGTGAAATAGATGTGACTCACTGTTGAATTTTGATTACAAAAGGCAATGTTCATTCCCTACTAAATATCCTCAACAAAGATCAGTCAGTTGGTCAGTCAACAAGCATTTATTAAGTGCCAGGCACTGTGCTGAGGATGCAAAGAAAGGCCTAATTAAAATTTGGTAACATACATTTATAATAAATCTAGCCATCATGGTTCCATGATTTCTTCCAGCTCCATTCAGCATCAGGTGAGTAGGGGAAGAAGCAGAAGCAAATGGTGCTTGAGACTTGAGCTCTCCTCAGCTGCCTCTCTCAGTAGATGACCACACCTTCTACTTTAACAGACTCTAGACACTGTACCTATGCACACACAGAGACTGGATTAAGTCTTGGGGGAGTCTGGCCGGTAATTAGAGGGATTAGGCTCTTTCCTATGTTCTCCAGAGACTGAAGGAAAATTACTTAAAACCTGGGTTTGTTTCATGTCTAGGGTCTCTCTAAAGGGCAGAAGAGAAGTATATTCAATATATTGTATAAATGAGGTTGGGACAGCTATTTATTTCCTTTACGCTGAAGAAATACTTAATACAAGGATTCACAGGCTTGTATTGACAAAAGCTTAAAACATGAAGCAGCAGCTTAACTTATACCTACTTTCCCAGGAATTGAGACCTCATCATCTAAACATCAAGTAGTTTGAAGGACTTTTCAATAGGCATGTTACATTTCGCCTCAACATTGCACTGTCTAAACAATTCCCTCCAAGTTGATGGCTTTAGCAAGTCAAGCCAGAGTTTGGGCTCACCTGGCTCACTAATGGTTGCCTTCCCCAAAAAGCATTGTAGTGGATATAGATACCTCCCATTGTGTAGCCAGTACTGTACTGACTCGGGGTTCAGGACCTCAACTCATGAGGCTGCCTCAAAAACTATATATAGCCTTCTCAAGATCAATATTCGATCACCTATAATGAGACAAAAAAAATCCACGCACATACAAAGGAGAGAAGCAACCAAAGGCCTAGGCTCAAGCTCCCTTTGCTGAGTCCCTGTTCTAGATGATCTACATGCATCTAGACACTCTAGATGCTCTGGAAGCAATTCACCATGCTGGTGGAGTAGGAGAGGATATCCCTTCCCTATCCCTCATGGGAAATCCCAGAGTTACATTATGTCAGCTAGAAAGTAGAAGGGGGAGATAGAAGGTCTGCTTGGTGGCCAATATGGTGATTGTATCACCATCTCAAAGTATTGAGCCCCACATATCCCTAGAAGTTATTAGAGATACTCAAACACATCCTTATACATGCTACATGGTATATAATCCCAAATACATAGAAATACACTGGGTTTTTTTTTTTCATTCTGTTTTGAAGACAATAACTGATACTACCTCCTAGATTTACTCTTCAGACATTCCAATTGACTTCTGCAAGGATATACTCATCTTTTCTTCTTCCTTTTTCTCCCATTTTTTTCTTTGCAATTCTCCATGCTTCTAGAAGTTTTTGTTTTGCTTTATGTGAATTATGTGTTCTACAATTCCTCATTTGAAAATGAATCTATGCTCTTGGGCCTCATAACTAATCCAACTGAAAAATTCATTGGGTCCAGTTCACAAAATCCAGGGAGATGATTGTGTCCGAGGAGCATAGACCAGGATATCTGGGATCCTCTAAGCTCGCATTGCCTCCTACATTTGCAGTGAACTTTTAGAGCCCCCAAATCATTCCAACTGGCTATATGTGCTGATCCACTTTCAGTCTCTCTTGACAATTCTAACCAGGCTAACACCACTGGTCTCTGCTTCTCTAATCATATTGACTTGATTGGAAGGTTTCTCCTGTGTTTTATTTTCTGTTACTCCCCCAACTCAAGTTAAAAACTCCATTAATAAGCTTGCCTTCTTCCAATTCAAGCCTGGTAATGGGCCATTTACATTCAAATGTCACTATAAAAAATAATTTATTAACTTTTGAGAGAAGCTCTTGTTCCCAAGACATAGCCAAACCCTTGAGACTGGGCTTGCTATAGTCTAAGAAAACAGAAGTTGAGTAAAAAGATGTTTTATTCCAATTTGGAAGAAAAAAGTATCTCCCTCAGATTTACTAGGCATTGCCATATTTAAATTCAGGCTGACTGGTCTCTTCTAGATAGTTCCTTTGAGATCCTTTGATAGAATTCCCTAGGGCTTGAATCTGGCCCTGAGACTTTTTTCAGGTCTAAGAACTATTTACATAGAGCCCCATCCTCCCCTCCCTATCAAAGAAGTTTCCAAGTGAAAATGCCTGGTGTAGGCAGGATCTTAAATCTTGTCCCAAAAATTTGATAATGACTAGTATATAAAATGGCTATCTTGGGTCTTGGTCTCCTGGGCTAAACAAGTAGAGACTTGAGATTTATTGTTACAGGACAAACACTCTATAGGTCATTGGCTTCTTGAGTCACAGCATATAAAATAAAGTATTTTTAGAAGTCTTCCTCTCGAGGAAAGCCCAAAGAGGCTATGCAGAGCGATGAGGGTTGTCCTTTTATGGTTAACTTTTCACTGGAAAAAAAACTTTTTAAAATTGTCTGCATTTGCATTTTTCCCTTTTTCGTGTATGACAAAAGAAACCAAAGAAGGAAAATCACTTTAAAAAAAAAAAAAACAGAATTGAAATGTGGGGGGAAAAAAACAGAAGACTTGAGTGATATTTGGATTTACCAGACTAACATTAAAAAAAAACAACACAACAATCAGAAAGGCCAGGCTGTGTCGAGCACTTTATAAATCACAGGTTAAGTTTCCTCTGCCTTGATTCTATTATTGATCATCCAGTACTTGAGTGAGAGAGAGGTAGGGACAGGAATTGCCAGAGCCTGACCTTGGTGCAGTTTGCTTTTCAGGGGATGCTCCTGCTTCTCACAGGGTAAAGCTTGGGGATCTTGGACTTTGGAAATGGGTTGGCCTTGAACCCTTGTTAAGAGGTTTCTGTGAAATCTTGTGACTGTGGCTCTGCCTTCTTGCCACCCACTGTTCTAACTTTGGAGCCTGCCTGTCTGAGCATTCTTTCCCAGGCCCTGACAAAGATCTGGGAAGGAGGCAGATATCTTACCTCACCTGATAAGTAGACCCCTTGGTGCTACATCTACATATTGACAAACTGATTGAGGTTAAGGGTGGTGGGGAAGGGGGAGTCTTCCCATCTTGGGAAGAAGGAAAACATAAAAGAACGGGAAAAAAATTCAGAATGAAATTTGGTTGAGATTTCTTTATAGAAACCAAGCTTGGGAGTTAAGTGCATTTGGTGAAGTATTTGGATAACAAGACATTTCAGGATCTGTCTTCTGAACTACTAATCTCTTCTTCTATCCTGCTTTTCAAGTTTTGAGTGTTTGATGAAGGATTCCATGCTCTGGAAAAAGAAGAAAAGGGAGGTTTGGGATGAGATTCTAACAAGGGTCATCACTGAAGCTGACAGATTATCGAGCAAGAATGCTATCTCTGAGCTAAAAGCCTGCGGTCCAATTAATGCTAGGGCCTGTGAGTCGGCCTTCATAGATGAGATGGTGGGCAGCCAGTTACAGAATGGGTTCACAGTTTATCTCTTGGGCAATAGGAATGCTTACCACAGAAAGGCAGTGCTTCTCCTATTTTTAGGCATAACTTCCTGTCATCCAGTTCCTAATCTGTGAGTGTGCACCTCAACCTCTATACCTCACAAAGAAATGGGCCCTGCCTCCACAGGCCCTGCCCCAGTGAATTGGCAAATGTAGTTAGTTTTTTTGGCCTTGATAATAGTGTTACAGATTGCCCTGATGTTTGGAGAGGTTGTTTGACCAGTCCATTGCTTTATCTCTGAGGAATGTGGTTTCAGTTAAGAGTCTCTCCTCTCTGACAACTTAGACCTTTAGTGAACTGCCAGGGTCACATAGCCAAGAGATGTCGAAGTCCTAAGTGATTTTTCAGCCTTGTGTCTAAAATGTGTTTACATTTCTTGAACCCTGGGTGATGGAATCCTTCTGCTTGTGTTAACAAGCATTTCTCCTATTTATTAGAATTCATAAGTTTTATGTCAAGGCTATCA